TTTAAACTGGTGCTATCAGCGCTTCGTAGTGATAGCTTAGCTGCGGAACGACCTGAAAGTGGAAGGAAAGCAAGAGAAATCTTTGGGAACGCTGAAATTAAGGCCTTAACCTTCAATAGGGTCGGATGTGGTACGATGGCGAGAAAGGGCGGTCAAAGAAGACAAAATACGCGAGAGAGCACGTCGTTTGAGAGAGCACGCTGATCTCACCATCGCGGTGGGTGGGAAGCGTTGCAACGGGGGTCGATGGTTGCAGGCCCGTAAGGATTAGCGCCCTAACCGCGCAATTTTTGCGACGAAGCTGGAGTGATCTAGGTAGGTACGGACCTTACAATTTCCCTCGTGGTATCCCTCCTACTAGTCGGGCTAATCCCGGGGTTTGCCTTTAAGTGAGGGTCCTGATAAATTAAATCTGCATGGAATTGTTGAAGTTCTATATTGAGCGTAACCGACATGGAGTTAACGAAAGCAAGAAAGTAATATAATACTTGTGGACGACCTCCATAATACTGCAAATGATTAAGTAAATACGCCGTTAAGACGACTACAGATATATAGACTTACGGTCTCATCGAACGTCCATATTCCATGGTGACGATTACAAATGAATGGAGTAACTCTGGATTTGAAGCCCTCCGTGGCTGTGGTGTTCTTGCATATGCCAACCATCACGAAGTCATCCTAAATGCTCTACAATTTCTAATGAAAACCAGACAAATAGCACACCTCCAAGGGTTTTGACTACATACTGTAAGATAACCGTAAAGTACGAATTGTTCCGCTCCTTACCTTCAGATGGACTCGAACAATTTTGTAGAGATTGAGTTCAACGCATTCTGATCGACATTCTGAATTGATGTGTTTTAGTTAACCTAAAGCCGAATTTTCATCTGGCTTACCTCCAACAGCGCCACTCCTTACTCCAGAGGCTATAACGGCAAGAAGTGCTAGGTAACCGATCATCTTCAATGAAAAATTCAGATGTGAATGAAAAGTTCAGATAAAAACCATGTGAAAAACGTCATTCGCATCGGAAGAGCACATGGTTAATATTGAGTCAATCACGAGATTGCAATGGTCTCAGGCAAAGAAAACCGGATTGGCCATGGGTGAACTCTGCTGTCTACATGTGTGGCACTTGAAAAACGATTGACTTATTATTATGAGACAAGAAGACGCGTGAATCAGAGTTCAGGATTGGCTTACTATGACTCTATACGTAGTGCCATGCCTAAATATGGAACACTCAGGTTTGGGCAAGAATAGAGACAATCTGAGCCATTCCACATTTCTACCTATATTAAATTTCAACATAAGTATTGTACTAAGGGAAAACTGAAGAGAGGCAGCGCATAGTTTTTATTCGGGGCAGAAACCCGCCCGGTGTCGGGGCTGCATGCACCGATTCACTTCAATAACTCAGTTTATAGCCTGTAACGAGTCTATTGGTATGTGCAATTGTAGCTCAGTCAATTGGTAACCTGTTTGTAAAAGGCAGAAGAAATTCACAATAGTACGCTCGGTGAATCGCACTCCTGACTTGGCATTAACAGTGTGCGTGATAATTTTGATTAAACTCTTTGAAAGGTCAGGCCTCATGAAGCTATGAATATGGAAAGTGTTTATCTTCCGATATTTCGGTCCTAATATGAATACCGATGTAGAAAAAGATGACAAAATTGGCTCTAGGGCTGCACCCATACCTTTACACTACAGTCAGCCGTGGCGTTGAAAATCTATCCAAAAACAAGCTCCGTATACCATCAATAGTGAAGGGATACGTCTCGCATCACCACGGCTACTTCTATACATGTTTTGTGTCTGTAGTTTTCTGAGGCCAGGTGACGCACTTCAATCCCGCACCGATTCAAGCCTGGCCGTCGAAGCGGGGGAGAGATAAGGCAAATATAGTTGAAGATACGGGGAATATTCCAATTTTGTCTCTATTTTCCGCTACCCCTTTTGGGAAACCTTGACGGCTACCTACCTTATCACCTACTACACAAAAACAGAAACAGGAACCTTTCCTAAAATTCCAAATACAAACTTCCTTTAATAAACTAGCTAACAACGGTTGACCCTGCTCTATCCGATTGGGGCCTAGGCTTTTATCATGCACAAACACCGATGAGCTGAACTCAATTTCATGCGCCGTGGTAGTGAACGATGCATGGAATTTGACGATAGACCTGTGGAAACAAAGTTCTCGGAGTTTCGACAATCCCACAATGGAGGACGCGAATGACGCCAAACTTGTCGAAGATAGAACATAAAATCTTTTCTATGAATATCACAATTCTATTTCCAACAGGACTAAGGATTACGCAGGTTGGAAATGTCACTGATGGTGTACTACAGTGATTGGAAGGTGCTGACGTGCTAGACTCTTGGTGCCCACACCTATATGGATCCGATGGCAAATAATCTTTGGTG